GGGGGGGGGGGGGGGGGGGGGGCACATGCACTACAGTCAGCAAACAGGGATAAAGGACCTGCAGGCCTCCAGGACTCTGAGTTGGGCATGAAAGATCCAGACACAGCCCCCCCCCCACCCGGTCCCAACCCTCTGAGGCCCACCAAGACCAAAGCCTGCCACTGGCCTTAACTAGGAACCCACCTACTTAATATTTTTTTTATTTACTTTTTTAATTTTATTAATTTCTTTTATTATTTTGATATATATATATATATTTTAATGTATTTAATTTATTTATTTAATTTGTATTATTTCTGTATTTATTTATGCATTTATGGATTTATTTATGGATTTATGTACGTATTTATTTATTTGTCATTTGACTATTGTTATTATTATGTTGGGGTTGTTGTTTGGAGATTTGTTAACTCCTTGTACAATTCAAAACCCACAAAAAAATATTTGAATATATATTTTTTTAATCAACAAAAAAACAACCCACCTTTAAAAAATAAAATTTTTGAATTATTTTTATATTTTATCTTCTTTTTGTTAGCATTTTCCTTTATTTTATTTTTTTACTGAGTTAATTCTTTGTACAATTCAAAACCAAATTAAAATATTTGTAAATATAAACCAACCTTGACCCACCTTGACCCCCCTCAGTTTATATTTGAATTAGTGACTTTATCAACCTGCCCAACATTCATTTTACTTTACTCACTTATACTTACTATTCATAGCTTTATTTATTCATATTTCACTGAAGGGCAAAGGGGAAATGGACTTCTCTGCATAGTCCATACAGACTGATGGAAATATACTCTGTCTGACTCTACTGGCTACACTAGCCAACATGCTTGTTTTAAATTAATATTTAATATCTAGTATTTAAATTAGTATTTCATATCTAGTATTCTAGTGCTTTTTAGTATTTATATGTTGTGTGTAATGTCTTAAGCTGCTGGGACCTTGAATTTCCCTTTGGGGATCAATAAAGTATCTATCTATCTATCTATCTATCTATCTATCTATCTATCTATCTATCTAGCTGCATTTATACTGAGTTTTGGACATATAAATTCCAAAGCGTACAGTAAAGCTCAGCGTGTGCTACCTGTGTTCCAGGTGTTGTTGCAGGAGGACCAGGGCAGGTCCCAGGAGAAGGAGAAGGACAGGTAGAAGATTCCCCAGGCCAGAACCACGATGTAGTAGAAGTTCAGCAGGGTGACGATCACCTGGGTCCCGTAGCCCAGACCTGCAAACGGAGGGCAGCGTTAGCACACCTAGCCCCGCCCACCTGGTCCTAGCCCCGCCCACCTGCCCCTGGCCCCGCCCACCTGGTCCTAGCCCCGCCCACCTGGGCCTGGCTCCAGGCCCGTGCAGAGGGGGGTGCTAAGGGGGCTTGAGCACCTGCCCCTTTTGCCCTTTTGGTCCTTTTTTTTTATTTTATTTTTTTTTTTATTTAACTTTTTTG